TAGTGAAGACAACAAACAGAAAACACTGAAGCCACTGAAATGCTCACCACTGGGCAAAAAAATAAGTAATTTTTGATATATCCATTCAATAGTGTGCTCTGTAACTAAATAAAATATGACGCAGAGATACATGCGTTAATAAGACAAAATTAGATAAACAGTCTAGGTGAAAAGTGCAAGGCATATAGGATAAAAGAGAGAGAGAGAGAGAGAGAAATAAAATTTTGTTGAGTATATAGAACATGTGTGAAATACTTGGAGTAATAAAATTTAGAACAATGATTACTTCTGGGGAGTGAGATTAGAAAGTCAGTTAGGTGAGAGATTATTTCACATTTAACTTTATATCCTTGTATGCTGTTAAATGTTTCAGCATGTTATATATACCATTCACGTATATTATTTTTACAATGCAAACAAATTAATGTAAAAATATAATAAACTCTATTATTCATAGTTCTAAAAATATTTTTTTCAGGTAAGATGCCAAGAGAAATGGAAGCAACTGGAGAATGAGTTTAAAAATATACAACCATATGCATATAAGGACTCTGAAGATGAAAGATAGTTCCATGGTTCATAAGAAATGCTAAAATTATGAATGGTATTAATATTGATGCGGGGGAAGAAAAAAATTAGAATCAGATCCTTTACTACCTGATTTGAAAACATAAACCACCTATTAAAACAGTGTTTTGATTTAAAATATGCCTGTTGACATACAAATGGCCAGAAGGCACATGAAAAAAAATTGCTCAATACCACTAATTATCAAAGAAATGAAAATTAAAACTACAATGAGGCATCACCTCACACTGGTCAGAATGGCCATTATTCAAAAGTCCATAAATAATAAATGCTGGAGATGGTGTGGAGAAAAGGGAACCCTCCTACACTGTTGGTGGGAATGTAGTTTGGTGCAGCCATTTATGGAAAACAGTATGGAGATTCCTTAAAAACCTAAAAATAGACTTACTATATGATCCAGCAATCCCACTCCTGGGCATATATCTGGAGGAAATTCTAATTCAAAAAGACACACAGACCCCAATGTTCATAGCAGCACTATGTCCAATAGCCAAGACATGGAAGCAACCTAAGTGTCCATTGACAGATGACTGGATAAAGAAGTTGTGGTATATTTATATAGTGGACTACTACTCAGCCATAAAAATAACAAAATAATGCCATTTGTAGCAACATGGATGGACCTGGAGATTGTCATACTAAGTGAAGTAAGTCAGAAAGAGAAGGGAAAATATCATATGATATCACTTATATGTGGAATCTAGAAAAATGACACAAATGAACTTATTTACAAAATGGAGACAGACTCACAGTCAGAGAAAACAAACTTATGGTTACCAGAGCGGGAGAAGGGGTAGGGAGGGATAAATTGGGAGTTTGGGATTCACAGATACTAACTACTATATATAAAATAGATCAACAACAAGGTCCTACTTCTGTATAGCACAGGAACTATATTCAATACCTTGTAATAGCCTATAATGAAAAAGAATATGAAAAGAAATATGAATATATACGTACAACTGAATCACTATGCTATACCCCAGACACTAACACAACATTGTAAATCAGCTATACTTCAATTAAAAATAAATAAGTAAATAAATAAATAAATAAAATGTGTCCATTGAGATAAGCACAATAGACAGATTCAGTACAGCCAATTTGAAAAATAAAATTCCATTGCATGTGACAGCACTTTGCAAAGTATAAGAGAAAGCAAAGTTTCATTGTAATATTAAAAAATAACAACTACATTATAATTATAGTAGAACTTAATACAGTTAATTAAAATGACATTATAAAACAACATTTAATGATATAGAAAAGTATTCACAACTTACTGTTACGTGAAAACAATTACAAAACTATAAGCATAATGTTCTCATATTTTTTGTGAGAACCAACATGTCTGTTGTGTGTGTGGTTGCATACTCACACCCTAAGAAAAGACACCAAAAGATGGTTATCTCTGGGCTAGAATATTAATTTTCATTTTTCCCCCATAAGTATTCTCCAAATGTGCTAAAATTCTTGTTTTCCCCTGCATATTCTAAATATGCTAAAACAAACAACCTTTATGACACTTATACTAAAAACAGAGTCGAGTTTGAAACCCCAATGTATAAAATGGTAAGAGCAGAACTTTCTCCTTTACCAGCAGAAAATTGTCATTATATTTACCCTATTCTATGCTCTCAGATGACTTCCCTTATCCACATAGATAGATGCACAGTCATATATCACTACATACACAGAGCACAGGGAAACATGGAACACCATTCATCACCACAAAGGGAAAACAAAGTTGCGCTTTGTTTGGATGGAGTACTGGTAACACATTAGCTCTAACTCTTCAGATGAGAAGAAAAGACCTGTTGCAGAACTTGGGGAATTGGTTTCATAGAACCCATTAATTAGATGATCTCTGAGATTCATTCCAAATCTGTGGTTCTGTGACTCCATGAATAATAACTAAAATAGCTATAAAATAGTAAGCATTTAAATGCATTAATCACATATTATGCCAAGCCCTACACCAGTGGCTTTATACACGTTTCCTTTAATGCTCATAAGTTTTCCTATGGAAATCATCACACCCATTGTTAAAGATGACATTAAAGTTATCAAGATTACATAATTTTTTCATTTTCACTTCTAGTAGGTTGCTTGAGAAAGTCTCTAATCTGTATCTCTCTTTCCACAAAGTCTGGGCTGTTTACTACTTTCCAACTACTACTTCTCTGTCATACTTTTACAGAATGGTTGACAGAGGGAACAGTCAAGTTGCGGTGAGCCTGAGGGCTCTGAGAAGTCCTGGGTTGGATTCAGAACCAGGAGGGTGAAATAGAATGTCCCTCACTATCTTTGCTGGTTTCAGGTAACAGAGGGAATCCAGTTGGTGGGCTGAGGGGAAAACTTAAGTCATTTTAACACAGATTCTGATGAAATCTCCATGACCCATTACCACAAAGGACCTGATCTCCACTCATCAGGATGGAAAGATCAGATCTCACCCAGAAAGTCTAAAATTGCCTGTGGAAGTGTACGTAACTTTGAATGTGTAATGCACAAAGAAACTACTGCTCAGCTAATTTTTTTTCCATTTTAAAACTATTACCAAGTTAATATTTCAGCTTTTTCTCAACAAATAATAATAGTGCCTATAAAATATTTTAAACTGATTGAATTAACTAACTTGTCTCAGCGCCATCCTATCCAACCTTTTTCCAATGAGTGAAGATGCTCATGATTTTGTTCTTCCATTTACTTGTTAGGTGACTTTTAGCAAATTATTTAGACTTTCTGAGTCTCCATTTTTACGTCTTTGAAAATGTGATAATAATATCTATACGGATTTTAAAGCACAAAATTTAAATTTAGAAGTATGTGAAAATTCTGAGGAAAAAAGCATGGAAAAAAGTAGATACATCATAAATATTAATTTAATTTCTTTCTAATGGCCAAAGAAATATGCTTTAAAATACACAACATTATCCAATTTTTGGTCTCACGGAACTAATTTTATAGAAAAAAAGTATACATGGACAGTATCAGTTTCGCAAAAAGCTCAGTCCAATTTAATAAATTTAAACTCTATTGCAGGCACCACATTTATTGCTTCATAAAGAAAAATCCTTGGAGTAACTAACTGGAATTTTTCAAATGAAATCTCAGATTATAGAATTTGACACACTTAAAGTTAATGCTTAGAATTGTTTTAACTATCTTCTGACAATGAATCACCTCATTGTGTGTGATGGGTCTGTCTGTCTTTTTTTTTTTTTCTTGATTTCTTGTAAGTTTATTCACGTCCTCTATTATTAAACTGAAGCCTTTCTAAAATTTTCTTTAAATATTACGCTATGAATCACCTTACAGTTTTATGAATTACTTTCAAGAAGATTATCTTTTGTTTTTTAACAGTTCTCTGACAAAAATGAGGCATTTATTCTAATATTAATTTTTCAGATAAATGCATTAGTAGTCATAGAGTTAAATGACTTTCAACCAGTCTCCTAGCTAAAAAGTAACATATTTAAATTATTTTAAAAGGGAAAAATCTTACCATGTGGCAACTTAAAAGTAGCTGATTTAAGAGTTCTTATAAACATGAGGAAATGAAAATTTTGGGGAAAAATCCTACAAATAAAGCTGATACAATCACAAAATGGAATAGACAAGGAATTGAGCAGATCTCTCGTTTTCTAGAAGCATGCATCAGGAAATGATAAGGAAAGATATATCAAACCAGGCCTTTGGGAGATTACAATTAAGCATAACTTGTACATTTGGAAAAAAATATTGCTAGCATGCAATGACAGAGTGAAAAATTATTACTTTGTGATATTTTTAGTATACATTTTTTTCACGTTCTTTTATACTTTTTGGCAGTAAGCTATAGAATACTATCCCCAAGTGAGGTTTTGGATGAATTCCTAAATTAAATCCACAAAATAAGAAACAGGCAGAATATTACTGATTGGTTCCAGACCTGAATAGCATAAAACGAGTCTGCTTAACATAAGCAAACTGGAAATGTTGATATTTATCATTTGTATCAGAGGATACATGAAACATTTTAATATTTTAGAAACTAACGTGTTTCCCTCTTGACCAAAAATTTAGTTCGTCCAAGTAAATCAATATAGATTTCAAGGGTAATGAGCAAAGAAGGATTCAACTCCTCTGAGTCTGCTCACTTGCATTTTCCGGAAATTGTTCATTCTCTTTATGGTTTATGAGACCTTTAGATGGACATGGTATTTGGCTGAGAGAATTGCATTTAATTGTTGCCACAGCTATGGAAGGAGAGGGCTTTGTAAGAGAAATGTTCTCACTGTAGATGTCTCACTTGCAGCAGAACTCCAGTTCTGGTTAAAAGCTATGGTATTTGGGCTAGTTAAGCACGTATCTCTCTCTCTTATTCCATAGGGACTGAGCTGGGCTGTCCTTGCTCACCAAGTCCACCTGCACTTCGTTAGAGAGTAGCATGTTCCATGCCACACCACAAGAACCCCACAATGACATAACTCCATTCAGAGACTGGCGTGACTGGGCTGGGTTTCCCTCCCCCCCCTCAGCTCTTGTATCACTAAGAATCTGGCAGCCAGTTTCGTCCTGACAGAGTTTACAGCATATATTGGTGGATTCTTGTCCATAGTGCATCTGCTTTAAGAATTAACGAAAGCAGTGTCAAGACAGTAAGGTAAGCGCTGTTTTAACTATAGCACTGGGGATGCTGACTGTTTGGGACAGTGTTTATTGTAACAGGGACAGGAAAAATTCCAGAGCTATTCAACAGCAAATCCACAATTCTGAGCATTTACTTTCACATTTTGCTTAATGTACTTTCCATGATTTATGGATTTGGATAAATTTTATACAGTATTTACTGCATTGCTTAGCAAAGGAAGTTATAAAAAGTTTCATTGTTGGAATGACAACACTAGACACAGTGAAAAAGTATGCCATTTAAAATGTTTGCTATCTTATGCTATGTAGCTATTTGTGTTAGTATTATTAGAAGCTAACTTTGGAGCAAAGAAAGGCCATTTTAATCAATATTCAAAATATTTTGCAACAAGTATGTTGTTATCTTTTGTTACAATTTGCCATTAACATTTTGTGTTGTTATAAAATGTGAGCTAAAGGATTTAGACATTTATGAATTTTTATGTCTATTTTGTTAATTTAATAGATTTGGGTTTTGGATGTATGTCTTAAGAAACAGAAACATGTTTTAAAAAAAACTCTGGGAAACATGATTTACTTTTTGAGGAAAAAAAAAGCATTTCCTTCATAGCCACAGGTATTTGAAAAGACTTAGGAAAAGTAAAGTGTGTTTTTGCTTCATAGTGGAGTCATTATACAGTTACAAACTCTCCTTGAATTCAGAGTCCTTGTTTTCACTCTGCCAAAAAATATGGAAGCATTTTTCATTACTAGTCAATACTCACATTATAGTTACCATGTCTATTTTGGTGTATACTGAATTAAAATAAGGTGGAAGCTTATTAATGAAGCAAGACAAATCCTTACAACATTAACATACTGTAACTTATGAAGGATTTTATAATTATGTTAGCACTCTGTAATTGTTCTCATGGCTAAGTCCTGTCAACTAAATTAAATGACTCCATCATAATATTAGGGAATAATTTACTAAGACTCTGGCTACGTGTTACATTACATCAGTCATCAGAGTGATTCTGACCTTTTGAGTGTTTCATCTGCTAGAATAAAGTGCCTTATAATTTCAAGCTAAAGCAAAGCAAAGATGTTTAAAATTCCTGAGAGTAGAAAATCCTGCTATCCCACGTTACCTAGACCCAAAAGCTTGTACCATGTTTCTCACTGGAAGAGATCTGATTTTATGGTATCTATTGGAATGTTATTTCTGCTTCACATTCACGATTTACCTCCCAGGGTTACCAGCTTCTCAGCTGTAACCCTTCATTCTACAAAAGCCCAACTCTGATATCCTGTTTCCCTTTACCTAAACTGCTGACCCTCTGCTTCAAGCAATTGAATATGCACTTCATTGAACCCCACCTTAGAAACAAGTTCCTATGAGAAGATCACTGTTACAAAGTGTTTTTAAATTACCTTCTCAATTTTATCCTTTCCTACATGGCTCTTAGTCACTGTTTAATACAGACTTTCCTCAATTTCCACATCTCTCCCACTTCCACTCTGTGAGAGAACTAAAATCCAGATAAATGAATCCTGCCTTCTTAAATTTTAACATGAAGAAAGTAGACAACTTGTGAGTTATTGAGAGAAAGGAAAACTTTCATTCAAAATTTTGAAAAGAATGTCATTCTCTACCAGTGGAATTTTTTCTCAGAGTAAACATTTTAAGAGTTTGTTACATTTCCTTGATTAAAAAACATTAGCTTTACTAACACTAATATATTAAATGTTAATTTTGGAACACGGTTTTGTTTAAAAGTATAGCATGTCACACAAAAGTTGAAATAATACTTACACCCCCACCAGGAATTCTGTTTCCCTTCCTCTAAATCAACAATAAAGACATCTTCAAAGGAACGTGCCCCCTGCCCCGACCTTCCCCACCACACACACATAAGAACAGCTTTCCTCCAGACAAAATCACAGACTGCCCATGTTCCCGGTTAGGATCTTTCTAATGAGACATTTTAATGATGTTGAATAGCAGGGTAGAAGGTACAGTTTACAACTGTCTTCTCATATTTGTTTCTTCTGGTTGAAGGGTGTTCTGCAGCAATGTTCTAACATGGTGGTTAATAGGCATGTCCCAGAAACCTCTTGGGAAAGATATTTAATTAAGGACCTAGAGAGGTTGACTGCAACAACCTCTCTGGCTGGCTCGCCCAGAAGGGGGCGCCTGTGTATACAGTCTGCCCTGGAACCTGGTCACCTCTTCATACGTTGCAAGCGTACATCCTTATCTTAATACTTAAACGCAAATTAAAAAGACATCATTAGTGCACTTAAAAAAGCATGAAAAAATAATAAGATACACATTTGCTAATGTACTGTTTTTCTTCTCAATTATATTTTTTCCTGAAAGTATGCTATTTTGTAATAACACGTTTCCACTTTATTTAGGAGTCAAAACATTTGCCAAAAATGAATCTAGGTGTGTTTACTCTCCTCTTGGCATTAGTTGGTGGTGCCAATGGCTACTACTATGATGATTACGATTTCCCCCTATCGATATATGGGAGGTCATCACCAAACTGTGCACCAGAATGTAACTGCCCTGAAAGCTATCCATCTGCCATGTATTGCGATGAGCTGAAACTGAAAAGCGTGCCAATGGTGCCTCCTGGGATCAAGTACCTTTACCTTCGGAATAACCAGATTGACCATATTGATGACAAGGCCTTTGAAAATGTAACTGATCTGCAGTGGCTCATTCTGGATCATAACCTTCTAGAAAATTCCAAGATAAAAGGAAGAGTTTTCTCTAAACTGAAACAACTGAAGAAGCTGCATATAAATTACAACAATCTGACAGAGTCTGTGGGCCCCCTTCCCAAGTCTCTGGTGGACCTGCAGCTCACAAACAACAAGATCTCGAAGCTTGGCTCCCTCGATGGACTGGTTAACCTGACCTTCATCCACCTTCAGCACAATCAGTTGAAAGAGGATACTGTTTCAGCTGCCTTTAAAGGTCTTAAGGGACTCGAGTACCTTGATCTGAGCTTCAATCAGATGACCAAACTGCCTTCTGGTCTCCCAGTATCTCTTCTAACTCTCTACTTAGACAACAACAAGATCAGCAACATCCCTGATGAGTACTTCAAGCGTTTTAATGGGCTGCAGTATCTGCGTTTGTCTCATAACGAACTGGCTGATAGTGGGATACCTGGAAATTCTTTCAATTTATCATCCCTGCTGGAGCTGGACCTCTCCTATAATAAGCTTAAAAATATACCGACTGTCAATGAAAACCTCGAAAACTACTACCTGGAGGTCAATGAACTTGAAAGTAAGTAGAAAGCTGTGCCTCTCTTTGAATGATGTGTCTTCAAGGTTTTAAATGCCTAAGTTGTGCAACACAAATATGGCATCTGGCTCCATTTTTTAAAAAATGAAAATGTCAACAACGTATTTCTCTGGAATGTAGAAGAATTCCAGTTCAGTTACTCATCCCATATATGGCTTTTCTTTGGAGTGTTCAGATAAGAAACCATTAACCTCACAGAATTTAAATATTCACTTTTTCAAATTTAATATTCTGGGCTAATTAATCCTTCTGTGTTATCTCTTGATGTTTATCTGTTATTATTTGCCTCCTCCATGACTTTGATTTATGTTCTACATTTATTTATTGGCAAGATCTAGCTGAGGGAGAAAACAAGTCCAGAAAAGGCACAGTTAGCAGTAGCTTTTACATCTCTCTCCTGCTTGTCCCCAGAGCAGCCCAAGTACATGGTCTTCTCTGCCATCTTTACCTGGGACTCACCATGTTACTCTGCTATCATGACCATCATCTGTTTCTGTTATCCCTGTTGTGGTGTGTGTGGTCTTCATGGTGTTCTTATGAGGACTGTAAGGAAGACTCAGGAGGAATATGATAAGGGTTCGGAATATTTTCATAGTAGTATCACAAAGTCCCTTTTCTTATATACAACCTTTTACCTCATTTGATTTTCCCACAGTTTTTCCCTCCTTTCTCTTGCTGCCATAGTTTATTTTTCATTCACCTCTGGGTGGGAGTTTGACCTGAACCACTTGGGCTGTTTATACACTCTTCTGGTCTTCTGGGAAATTTTTCAATTTAAATTCTACGGGGATTCAGATGGGAAATTGACACTTACCATTCCCTACTCTTTAACAGAAGTTGGCAGAAAAGAAAAACCTATAATTCACAAAGTTTTTAAGATGGAACATCAGGTGGAAAATACCAATTCATCCATAGACAATTTTATCTGCAAAGTAATCTATTGAAATTGTACATCTTTGTACCATGAAAATTGATTCCCTTGTTGTATGGGGTAAGGACATTGACACTTTTATCAGAAAAGCTTCAGTGTGCCTTATTAACATGATACGCTGTAATTCTGCAACAGCTTCATGTAACCCCTAGTAGGGCTGGGGTGTTCTCATGAAGGAGACCGTGACTGCCATCTCTGAAATGCTACCCGTTCTTTCTTGTATTTGAAAAGCTTACTTGTCGTACAGTACATGGCCAAGCTATCAGAGCTAAACCCTTACAGTTGTTTCCAGGAGAAAATTCACTATGTGGCAATATATGGTTCCACATTATAAACATTTGTGGTTAAGAGGAAGGATGCTCGGACAGGCCAAAATGCTAATGGGATTTAAGATGTTCAAAGGCTGAAGAAATCCATTAGACTTGGTGGGTGGAGGTTAGTCACAGGAGCAAGACTATCTCCTACTCTGAGACAAAAAAAAAAATGGGAGAGATACAGATGCAGGAGCATTTGAGAGGGAAAGACCTGTTTTTTCATTGCATTAGTAAAAACATAATGAGCCAGTGTAAGAGGTAAGATAGGTGGTCTATGGGAGAAATGCCAACAGCCACTCAGTGCCAGGCGGAGACTGAAACCACAGCGCCCAACACATACAGCCATATGAAAATGAGTAGTTACATTCACTTCTTCCATCTCCTTGACATTCAGTTATCCACATTTCAGGGACTCTTGCCCTTTCACTTTGCATGTGAGTCTTCACCTTAGTTTATTTTGCTGCATAATAATTATGCACACCAACTGCCCACATTATCTTAAGATAAAAAGAGCCCCTTAATGTTTCTCTAATATTAGAAAGTATACGGCAAAAAAACTTTCTCATATTTCAAACTTGCAACTTTTAGCATTAGCCTAATCACAAATGTTCTTAATGTAAGGCAATTTGTAAAACAGAAAAAATCAAAAGGGCACCAATAATTATTTAGTACATAATATGTGCTAGCAGTGTTGTGAAGTATTTTTTACATACCTTAATGAATGTAATTCATGCTGCACAGTGTGATAGATATATTTACTTCTAACAAGAAGATCAGATAAACGTTCCAGATGGTAAATGGCAGAGGTAGGAAGCTAAAACAGACTTAATCCATGTTTTCTCCATTGTTCCATACTTTCTCAGAGGTAGGTATCAAATGCAAGATCCCTGGAATATGACTGATGAGTTATTTAAGACAACATTTTAGAGGAAATAACTGCAGTGTGTTTGGGCTTCCACTAGAGTCATTGTTGCTAGAGTCTGAGAATGAAAGAGGTTAAAATAACAAGATAAAGGGCCAGATGAGGTTCATCGGAAATCGACTTGGGCACCCGTAGGCAGTTTCCACGCACATACATAGATTATGCACTCTACTGACAGTCTTTGTGTCCATTAAAAACTAAATCAGTTTTTCATTTGTGGCAGCTTTTTGACCACAAAAGAAAAGGACATGGGCTGAGATGGTGGGCATCCCACGATCTGCGTTTTGCTTTGGAGTTTATAATCTTGTCATGAAGTGTGGTTGTTGGAAAATTCTTCAGAGGTCGTCTATTCTAAGATGCAGAAGCCTAGGGTGCTTACACTGGTGAGCTTGTTTATACAACAGCACTAATCTTAGATTTCTTCAGGCTAGACTGTTTGAAAACAATGCTTAGATAATATGACACACTCACTGAATGTCTTTCTGAAATCAAGTCTTTTTAAATCAAGAACTTAAATATATTCCGTTTGAAAAATTCTGTTAAGTTTCCTGACCTATCATAGGTATTCTGTACTAAATATTGCTGGGCTATGTGGTAGTCTGAAATACTCCTTTAGTAGTTCCAAGTTCAAAGATACATCAAATGAGTGAGATGGCATTCTAATAGATAAAATTAGAGATCTGAACTTTTTTTAAATGATTTTTTTCAAACTCATGTACTAAAAAAAATGATTGAAGTTTTTCATTCTTTAATTTCCAGAGTTTGAAGTAAAAAGCTTCTGTAAGATCCTGGGACCATTATCCTACTCCAAGATCAAACACTTGCGCCTGGACGGCAATCGCCTCACCCACACCAGTCTGCCTCCTGATATGTACGAATGTCTACGCGTGGCCAACGAAATCACTGTGAATTAGTATCTACTAATTCCAGTTATGTTGAGGTATATCCTCGAACAGCATTTTATGGTTATGTTTATTTGTGTGTCAGTTTTATAGTATTCATTTTGTTGTTGTTGTTTATTCCTTGAATTTCAAATTCTGAGGGAAAATGTTTTGTAAACATTTGACTACTTTTATAAAAGGAAAGATGAAAGGCAGGCCTATTTCATCACAAGCACAGACACATACACACATATAGAAAACAAACTTAATGCTTTCTTTGTAAATTTAGTGTTTTCTACATCCTTACTGTCAAATGATGTGCAAAGCTTTTTACTGGTTTCATGGAAGTCAGCCAAGTTTTTTCATTCCTAAACTTTAATTTAATGTGCCAAAAAGCATGGTTACATACATATGGATGTTTCCTGTCTTAAAACAAATTATCTCAAGGTTCAAATTTTAATGTTCAAATTTGTTTAGCTGAAAAATAGGTGGTAAATTTCCAGACCAATGATTTTGCAAACTACTAGACAAAATTCATGAAGCCATATACACTTAAAGCTGTATTTTTAGTGTCACGAATTTAATATACTTACCTAGTGAAACTCTTCTTTTCTAGAATTATTTTTTTCATTCTAAGTCATGTGTATGTTTCTTTTTGATTATTTGCATGTTATGTTTAACAAGCTAATACCAAAATAAAACATAGCAAATGGCATCACTGTGTTTGACTTCTTGTGAAATTCGTCTCTCTCATGTTAAAAAGCAGATAAAATAATAGATTAGAACTCAAAAATATCTCTAGTCTGAAATAATTTTACTAATGTTAAATAGAATTTTTCACTAAATAGTCTGCTTCTAGCATCCACTTGTAAAGTTGTAAAAACTTTTAAAGTTTTTAAAGATATCTTACAATATGTACTTAAAAGTGTGCAGATCCCCATTGTGTCCTGCAGTTCATCTCAGTTCTGACACTAGGTACCTGGAGACAGTGTCAGATTGTACAGGTTAAGGGTTCAGTCCTGCAGGATGGCTCTCTCTCCCCACTTCAGATGCCAGTTGAAAGCCCAGGTTGTAACCTCTACTTCTGACCAACTGGTTATAAAGTTTCCCCAGAGTTTCCCTTCCTGGACTTGATGAATTTGCTAGAGCAGCTCACGGAACAGGAAAACTTATTTACTCATTAGATTATGTGTTTATTATAAAATGTTACAACTCGGGAACAGCCAGATGGAAGAGCTACATAAGGCAAGGTATGGGGAAAGGGTGCTGAGCTTCCTTGCTCTCTCCAAGTGTGCGCCACTCTCCCCACATCTCCACAGTTTCAGTGATGAAAGCTCTCGGAATCTTGTTCTTTTGGGTTCTTGTTGGAGGCTTTATTTCATAGAGATGATTGATTAAACAACTGGCCATTGGCAATTGAGTTCAATCTCACCTGGGAGGTGTGGGGAAGGAACTGAATGTTCAAACCCTTCTAATCACAGGGTTGGGTCACTCCGCAACCATTCCCCCATCCTTTCTGAAGTCCCTTCAATAATATAACAAAAGACGCCTTTACTGCTCTTACTCAGGAAATTTCAAAAGTTTTAGGAGTTGTGAGCTGAACCTTGGACAAAGACTAAATATACGTAAGAAAGACTAAATATACTTTAAGATGACCAAATATATATTTCTTATAAACCACAATATTACAGTACTTAAATGTTACAACATCCTTGGATATTTGTCATTTATTCCCATTCCTGTTGGTTTTACTGACTTTTTGCAATGATTTGCCATTAAATAAAAAGGAAGTATAAGATCTCAGCAATTACTAGTTGGTTGTAAGCAAAAATGGTGGATAACTTCCAGCACTAAAAATGTTGAATATATATAAATGTTTCTGAAAATGAGATTTAAAAGATCAATTTATCTTGAAACCAATTTATCTTGAAACCAATAACCCTTGTAACATAGGGTTAGAGTTTATAATCCAGAAAGTTTTCAGCTTTTTATATTATGAGTATCCTTGATTCTATACAATGAAAAATATAATTTATAACTTCTACCTTACCTAGGTAGTAATAAAGCATATGTTTAGAGCCAGATGTTGCACATCCAAAGATAACACTCATCCCGTATGAGTGAATATATAGTCTCAAATGTGCCTCAAACAAAGGCAGTGTCTCTTGAATGCATCATATGTTTTAACAACATTTTTAGTGAACCCTGTCTTATGGTAAAATGGCCTGTCATCAAAGGACTATTATCCATTGAGACTGCACTGATTGGCTGATGACTGATCCACACATTACATTAAGCACACCATGCATTTTTGATCGTCATGTCTTTTCCACGTAAAGGTAAGTTCCTTGAGCTGTGATAGTAATTTCAGGTCATTTTTCCATATAAACTTAAAACCTATTTTCTCCCAATAAAACTGTAATATAGAAGAAATGAAAATAATTTCTTCTTGCCCTCTCTATAAAAAATCACCATCAATCCTTCAAAACTTACTCTCAACTAGGTAGTAGAGAATGTGCCATAAATTTTTTTAGAAAGAATGTTTTAGGCTTAAACAAGCTTTGTCTCTATATCACTTAGAAAAAACATCTTGTCAGCTGACAGTCTACATCTTTAAAAGTCTTTACTTTATCACAATCCGAAGTCATATTTTATCCCTCAGCCTAAATAGCAAAACTATAATTCTTAAAACAGCAATTTCCCTCATGGTTAATGTTGGTTGACAAGGACCAAATTAAGTACTCAGTGACATTTCCTGTAGTAGCATCTGAGGAAGGTGTTAGTTAGATCCTGTCTGGGGAGAGGTCCCCTTTCTAGAGGCCAGACCTCATCTCTCCAGGGCAAAGCTGGAGAAGAGGCACATCCTGCTTGCTTCTGGAAAATGAAAAAAGTCCTTCGACATCTCCATTTGAAAATCAAGGCTAGGTCATGCCTTTATGGTAAAGGAGAACTATGATGTACTAGGGCTTTGAGGTTTGTGAGGAATTATTGTGCCCTAATAAGTACAAAAATACAGATGGAAGACAGACCACTAAATGAACCAGAGGAATGTTGATTTCTTAGTTAAAAGTTCTCCAACTGGTAATAGCTGTTTTCAGAAATCCTGGAGATTTTAAAAGGTTGGTTTTACAAAGGGCCATGAATTTTTTTCCTTTGTGATCTTTTAAGTTTGGAGTTCCAGTTTTTTTCTATAGCTGTAATTTTATCATAATGATGGCCTTAGATTTTCTTTGGTTGGATTTTGCAACCGTCATGCATACTTGCTCAATATTTTACTCACAAGTAAAAGAAAATGCTCATTTGAGTTAAAGTGAGCTCTAAGACAACTTTACTACCAGGAACTAAAAATGTATATAAAATAACAGTGTTACAAAATTTAAAGTAGATATGCACATGCCATAAGTATACGAAATAAATTTAAATGAATTTTTAAAATACTAGCCAGGTATATTTATTTATTCACACGTACATTCAGTAGATTTTGTTTCCTAATAAGGTATAAGAAATTGAACTATAGGGTATATGTAGAAAAGCAGAAATTTAGGCAACATAAAATGAGTGAGGTCCCAAGCATCTTCGTCTCACTTTGATAACCCCAGGGTTCCACATCTACTGTGTAGTGTCTCCTCTTTCATGTTTTGATTGACCCAAAGAGTATCAACTACATTGTGTGTCTTGTCCTCTTAAAATGTAACTGCTATTCTATAAAAGAGAATGCATTCTATGTTTTAAAAATACTTAAGAGCCTTAGCTACTTAACCTATAAATTATGTCTCAAATAAACCCTTTTCTACTCTCACTACCACTGCTTTAAGATTTGCTCAATTTTCATCTAGATTTCTGAAGACTCTCACGTTTTGCCTAACTTTGTCACCTACAGTGTTACCAGAGTGAGTTTCTTGGTATGTAAACCTGGTCCTTTATTATTTACTTCTTAAAACTATTCAAAAATGCATCATCATTTTCAAGATGAGACCCAGGCTCCAAATGCAGCATACAAGTCACCCAGGATTATCAGATGTCCCATGAGATCTGGTCTTTGGTTACCTCGAGAGCCTTGTCTCTTACCAGGCTTGCCAGGTCCCACTGCATCATATTTAATCACTCGATAGTGCAACCATACTTACCATTTTGCAGCTGGTTTTGCTCTGGTGTCTATGAAAACTCTGTCTTTTCTTCCTGGGACCTCTTTAGGCTCTTTCTACTTGGAAATACCTACACATCTTTCACACTCACCTTAAACTACTCTGTTCTTTTGCCATAAATTGCTCTGAACCTCCTCAGATAAAATTAGTACCCTTTATCATAAAATGAAAATCCTGTATCATAAAAATGAAAATTCTTTATCAAAGTTCTAAGTGAGAATGAACAACTCCCTCTGTTGTGCCTCCACCTGTAACTTTTCCATTAATTCATTCAACAAAGATTTATGGAGCTTTTACTCTACTCCAGGAATGGTGTAGGCATTTGGAATTTAGTAGTGAGCAAGACCAACAAATCACTCCCCTCACAAAGTTAACATTCATAAAGAATTCAAACATTAAGTGGATAAATTCATGCTCTGTGACTTGATGTTAGGTAGTGCTACCTACTATGCAGAAAAATGGCCTGCCTGAAAGGATAAGGGGAAGGAGGGGAAGTGGTGATTTTAATTGGCTGATAAGCCTTTTTGGAGAAGAGACTTAATTGTAATAATATTTATTTAAATTTTATTACATATTAGATACTTCAGGGAATGTATTTTATGTATTATTCTAGCTTAAATAATACCTATATGGTACACTCCTACTTAACAGAAAAGAAAAACTGGGATGTAAGGTCAGACATATTTTAAGTGTTATAACCTCATTTGAGGCCAGATTTCTACTGTCAGAGTACATGTTTTAACTTGGTAAAGTCCCATGGCATCAAGAGGTGCTTAGATGTGTTTATATGTGTGTCTGTAAATTCCCTCTTCCCACCTTGACAAAACACAGAATCTGGTGGTAAGTTCTGAATAGAGTTCCTGGAATCAGACTGGTGAAGAGGAATGTGTCATGAAGGTCAATCTTGACCCAACTCGTTCCTGGCAGGCTCCAGTACAGTTGCTTCTGTTTTAGTCTCTTTAACTTTATGCAAAATAGTTCAGTATATTTTAATTCACAGGGTTCATCCACTTCTCCCTATTAAGTCTATTTTTAATAGAACATTCTCTCCCTTAAAACTTGGGGTAATGGATATAGGAGTATCAATCTATTTCCTCTTATTTAATCTGTCAACATAATTTCTGGCTAGACTTTCAAAATATGTCACAAATCTGACTGTTTGCCACTACTGGTCCAGTCCACCAACATCTCTCTTGAACTAAGGCAATAACTTCCTTGTGAATTTCAAAGTGTATTTAAGAATGGAATCTGATAGTTTACTGTCAAAGAAAGGTCAGGATGAGTTTTGAAAAAGATAAGACACATTATGTCCTACCCCAACTTATATACTTCAAGTATCTTCTCAACACACTTAAAATATAAAGCCCTTACCACGACCTTCAAGGTCTCATTCTCTTATCACTCTTCTTGCCCTCTTCTCTCCAACCACATTTGTCTCCCTGCTTATTGAACATGCCAAATACATTCTTAGTCTGGGTTTCTTGCATTTGTCTCTGCCTGTGATCCAGCTATATACATGGTTTTCCATACTTCACTCTGATCTTCAACCAACAGAGACATCTGCATAGAG